CAAACCGGTGCACGAGCTGACTCGAACTCTTAAACTTAAGCTCTATATCAATAAAAATAATCAAGCTGAAGCCGAGGGCGACTCGACTTGTTTACACCCCTAAATTGCTTTTAGTATTTTCTTTCTAATGTAGAAATTTTATATTTTTCATATTCTTAAATTATTTAAGGAAAATGTTAAATTAAGAGATGGCAATAAAATATGATATATGCAGATGCATATTTAACTATTAAATCACCCCCATATAGAACTGGTTGGGGAAGCAACGTATTAGTGCATGTAAAAATGACATAAAAATGGAAATGATTGTCAATCTTTTTGTGGGTTTTGAAAAAAGTTATGAAGGTTGTACATTTAATACACATATAGACGTGGTCAATCGCGTAAAGCCAGTGGTTCTTCTCCTTCTGCCCCGCTCCCCAAAAACAAAGTTCGACTTACATGTGTTAAGCATATAGCTAGCATTTCTTCTGAGCCAGGATCAAACTCAGAGTTTGACTATGATTGGCCCTGCAGTGGTAGAATCAGTTGAATTGGGCCTACTACTAAACATTGATTCTCTCTCCTCTCCTTTCAGTTGAGCATAACAGAAGTTCTAATCTCCTTTCAATCGAGCATAATAGAAGATTAACTCCCATTAAATGATTGTTTATATGAAATAAATAAATGTAATAATAAAATAGTTTCATTTATCATCTCAATTTACTATTTTATCTTTCACTTTTTTATAAAATTGACTTGAGATTTGGATGCAGCTGAAGGATGTGCACAAAACAGTATTTCAAACTTATGAGGGTCACTATAAATTTCAGTTTAAATGAAAAAAATTATTAGATGAAGACGCCAAGGGGGAGCCATACGACTTGATCCTTCAATAGTTTCTTTTTTTTTCAAACTTGAGAATAAGGTGCCTTATTGGTAGGGGAGTAATGTTATACCGGTACCGACGATGCTTTCCACCACGCCAGGCCCACCAAATAATTTGAAGACTTATTTTAAGTGCAATGCTAAAAAAACAATTTAGCCTTTTATTATTTATTATTTTAGGGGTATAAATAGGGCTAATATGTTTAGTGTTAGAATTATACATGAGATTATGGTCTTTGAGTCTTAGGGTTAGGATTTGGGACAGATCGTCTACCCCTCGAATCGTAGGTGTTGGGAAAGATTACTAACATCTCGAAATGTAGGTGTTTATCTTTATATATTTAGTTGTGTCGTTTTGTGCTATTGAAGAAAAGTATTTTTTGTCATAATTTGCGGTGAAAATTCGTCTTGGTTCGTATCACATTCTAAATGGAATCCACTTTAGGTTCAAATGGATAAACTTGATCATCTTCCAAATTATCAATCTTTAATTTAACCGAATTATTGTCACATTATAATTAATTTTACTTATTTATAAGCTCATTTAATTGTTTTTGTAAAATAGCAAACTTCCATTACTTTCATAATCTATTAAGTCACTCTAATATTTTGCCCTGCTTCAAGAAACATATTTAAACAAACTTAAGTTCTAATAAGATTCCAATGCAGGATGACATAGATTTAAGTTTTCTAATATAATTAATATGCTGTGGGGATGCACAAAAGAAAATAGAGGATTAACAAATCTTTAGTAACAAATTAATTCAAAAACCCGCTTCCTTTAAATAAGAAAAAAGGATCGAAAATATACAAGAATCTGAACAGGACATTAAAATTAAATAAAATTAGTAAATATATCAAATTTTTGCCCTGCTTCAAGTAACATATTGAAACAAACTTAAGTTCTAATAACAATCCAATGCAGGATGACATAGATTTATGTTTCTAATACAATTAATATGATGTGGGGATGCACTCGTCCAAAGGAAAATAGAGGATTAACAATCTTTAGTAACAAATCAATTCAAAAACCAGCTTCCTTTAAATAAGAAAAAGGATCGAAAATATACAAGAATCTGAACAGGACATTAAAATTAAATAAAATTAGTAAATATATCAAATTAATTTCTACAAATTAAATTTCCAACGTGTCATTTTTTTATCAAAATTAAGTGCACTAAGAACACATAACAAATCAAACAAATGAAATAAAACAATAAATAAGTTTACCGAAATAAGAATAATCAGGTCATGTGTCAATACAAATAGCATGGGGATGGTTGACTACCTTGAAATCAACTAGCCAAACATATCACTAAAAGTAATCACACATCAACTTAATCTTAAAAGACTGAACTTGAAAAATAGATTTAGTTATGCCCAAATTTATGTCACAGATCATTATTTATAGACACTTCAAACTTAAACTAGTATATGAGCTTGGCACGGGATCAATCTCAACTTAACTTCATTTAATATCACTGAATAGAAAAAAGTTCCATATTTAATTTTAAACCTCCAACTCAATCAAATCAATGCTACATGTTGGCCATCATCAAATTGAAACCCACAAGAAACCACAACAAGAAGTAAATAGCCTTATTACAGCAACCCCATCATGCCCCACCCGAATGCATAATGTAGACCATCACAAGGAGTTGTAGAAAAACCTTCCAAGTGATATAAGTAATTATAAGATTAAATTAACATTAGACTTCATAAAAACAAACCAATTTTTTATTAACATGATTAATATTACACCATATACCCACATCATTTGATACATACATAACGCCACTAACATCCACAAGTAAAACTTGAACAACATTCCCTATACTTGTCACGTTATCTCATATAATAATCTCTTATAACAACAATATATAATAGAAAAATCAATACATATAATAGTACATCTTCCCGAATAAAATCAGCTCAATCTACAACTCTGCCCCTTAATGATACCTTTACACTTACCCTAACACAACACATAGGTCCATACAATGGTGAGTATAAAGCCAAATAAAAAATCAAAGCTCCAGCTCAAAATTCTTTTAGTCGATGAGTAAGGGACATGCATGATCATTCATCATATCTATGCAACTTTGTCATGAAACATATGAAAGAAATTAAATTGATAATATACTAGGAAATCACCATAAGTCATGTATATTAGTAAGATTATATCATATCATGCTTGAGTGTTATTCATAATCACAAATGCTTGTATGTAGAGCCATGATATACATAAAAAACAAAAACGTGCAACTATAAAAATTTAGATAGCAAATCAAGTATGATAGAAATGTTACTATTCAAACACAAACTATGATATTATATCACCACATTCATAATTCCTTTTATACAAAATTGGAATGGGAAAAAGCATAGAATCATGGAATGGATGTTTGTTCATCTCAGCATTTATTTCATATAGCAATAAAGTTGATTAAACTAAAATTATCATTCTAGTGTCTGTTGTCTACTATCCCCTAACAAAAGAGCATCATATTGTGAAGTATTCATTTTATCCTCAACCCCCTCCCTGAAAAAAAAAGAGGTCCCAAATATCATCTTGTTTGCACGTATGCCTAATCGTTTAGCTTTTCATGTACATCTAATAGAGGGCTCACATCTACTACTCTCACATTTAAAAAAAGCTCATCCGCTTGTCCTTTTGCAAGATAACATAACTCAACTTGTAAAAAACAAACAGCTATCCTTTCAATACACAGGAAATAATAATATAGATAAATTGCATGTCAGTGAATTTTACATCGTCATGTTAAAGAATTCATATAAAATAATTTCTATGGTGTGCATCCTACAAGACTTCCAGAAACTAGATGCAAATGCATGCTACAACAGGGCAATATATCACAAAATCAAAATGAGAATAATCTGCACATCATTCCATACAAAATAAGAGCAAGGAATAATCATAAAATTCAACAAAAATCCATCTATAATAGTCATGTGCAAAACATGCTACAACATTGGATATAATCAATGTTTGCGTCTATGTCATTGTCATCACCACTCTTCATAATCCCCCTTCCAGAAGTAAGTAGAGGAGAGAAGGTGAAAAGGTTTTGGATGAAGAAAAAAAAATGCTTCAAAGGTAAAAGGGAAATGAATGCTGCGGTTTGCCACAACATCACTTCTGATGAGAAAAGTATTTTTTCTCCATCAACTTAGATGGAAATATAATTGGGATACTTTAGTCAAAACTACATGCGTTTATCTGTATATTTCAAACCAGTAAAGGTTAAATGCTCAATTAGATAAACGAGTTGGGGTAAAGATTATTTCCCCAAGTTTTACAACCTCCTGCAACATACTCAAATCACAGAGAAGAGAGGTGCGGAAGACTTGGAGCAGAGAATGATGATTCTTATTGGCTTGGTTCAACTATAATTTCTCTTACATAGACAAAATTCAGCTTGCAACACAAGAAACATTAGTTTAGGACAAATCTAATCAAATAAAATAAAATAAATTCATATCATACAACGCAAGAAATGGAGTATGTATATTTTAGGAAGATTTCGAGAGTAATTTATTCAAGCGAGACATTAATCTCAACAATTTTTTTGTCAAGCCATCAAGAAAATGACGGTAGCATATAAAATTCCTCACTTTTTTATAGGAGGGGCAGAGGGAAAACCCAGGAATTGTTGGACGACACCAAAGCACTCAACTAACCACCTAAATGACGGGAAGTCGAAAGCCGGTACAAAAAGTACCAGTTGGAGAAGTAGACATATCTAAACTCCAACCAAGCGACCAATAAAAGGAATGAAATAAATGGATAAGAAAGAATACTTTGACTTCAACGCGAATATAAAAGTATAAAATTAGCAAGAAGTTGCTACGAAGAACTGATTTCCGCCAGAATAACCATGGTGCCACAATCGCTGCATCCATTCAGTCTAAGCTAGATTTAGGGCAAAAAATCACACCCATTCCAAAAAAAACACCAAAAAGAAGAAGCGGAAAACACGCATTCAACTCCAGAATCGCATAATTCGAGCTTAGCCGCATGTGCAAGCCCAGATCTAACAAAGTGTGCCTCAAATACCATCAGAATACTGAGAAAAGCCGAAATGGCGGAATCCACCAACATCAAAACTCACCTCCAAGCTCGAACAGTCGCCCATTCTCTTCTCATTCTCTTCTTTTCCCTTCCCTTCCCGAACGGTTGCCAGCAAAAGCGTTACGACAACTGTTCAACTCCCCAGGCCTTCCACTGGAAGAGCTTTCGACGAGCTTTTGAGCTCTGGCCTCGAGATCCATCAATGGTAGCTCTTTCTCTTACACTACTGGCTCTCACCCTCCATATTCCCAATTTTGACGTTACGATGGCTGTTTCAGTGTCCTACCCTGCTCTCAAGGGATTAGATCTAAGGGCCCTCTCGGAGGAAAATGCTTAATGTGGGCAGTCAAGTGTTCGTATTTCGTGTTTTAAGTATTTTTATATTCTATTACACGATTCGCATCCGCGTTTGGGCTCAATTTTTTTTTTACTCCGCTACCCTCGTAAGCCCGCAGCCGACCTTCCTTCGAACATTCAACGTCGATCCCGCCTCCGTCGCTTCGCAGGTAAAAAAACTCATTTTCCCCGCTCGGCTCCTCCCTCATTTCCCTCATTTTGCTGAGAGATTTAAGATTTTGGCAAGAGATTTCAGTCGATCCATCTGTTTGAAAGTGTTTGGTGGCTAAAACCTAGATCCAGTTTGAATATGCATATATCGCTGGTAAAAATATAGATCCACTGTTATTGTGATATGTTTGAAGCATCCAGAGGGTTTTCTTCTCCATTTCTCATTCCTGCCTTTCTTCGAACTGTGTTTATTCGTATCTACCGAAAATTTTTTTTTGTATTTTGTTCGTATGGTCTCCATGTTATTCAAAATTATTGATTCTTTTAGGATATTTGTTCGAGAGGCAAGATGATATTGATGCAATGCTCTATTCCCTACGATTTGGTATTCAAGTTGTTTTATATTTTAGAAGGATCATTTGGTTCATTTTTTGTATGAAAAAGCTTTTGGTGGGAGTGGTTCATATCTTTGGTATTCTTTAAGTCATGTTTTCTGACTTTCTTCAACATGTCACATAATTTCTTAGAAGTTGTCCGTTCTGTTTGTGGGACCATGTTACTTTTATTAGGAAGATTTACATACATATCACTTAATTCCTATGTATTTACATATCTAACACCTAAAGTTTGATTTTTACATATATGTCATCTTACCTATGCATTAGAAGGTGTATTTTATTTTTTTAAAGTAAAAATAGTTATAGTTTTTATGCAATTTGAAATATTTGGATGGTATAAAGGTAAAAAATAAGGTTTTGGTATTAGATATGTAAATATATAATAATATGGTGGTAGGTATGTTAATGTCCTTTTTATTATTCATCTTGTTTGTGGTGTAGACGAGTTGAGCCGAGCTTAATATTTAAACAAGTGGATTTGATTGAGACGAGATTATTATGATAGAATTGGTTAAAGAAACAATTCTGTTGTGCCGATGTTTGTTCACAGCTGAATGGGTAAAAAAGCTTGCATTATGTTGATGACTGCAATTTTCCACGATTGTTGGATGGATAGTTGGCTGTAAAGAACATCGAGACACAACCACGATTGTTAGATGGATAGTTGGTTGTAAAGAACATCGAGACACAAATATATTATTTTGTTCAACAACATGAATTTGCTTGTAAATTAGAATAAGTAGGAAAAAGAAGCAACAACATAGAACTACAAAAATTTTATTGTTATTTCTTGCATATTTGGCATGGCAACAATGAAAGTTAGGGTGATAAACTTTTTTGGCTCTGGTGTTATGTTTAAGCAGATTGTTTGCACTGATTCAATGAATATTCTTTTACCGAGATGGTGATAAGCATGTTTACTTCAATGAAGGTGTTACTATTTATGCAACTCAATATTTTTTTGCTTTGATGAGACCCCTTTCTTTACTTATATGAAAGAAAATTGACTATCTGATTATGGTAGATCTAATACATTGTTGTTGAAGCAGGTTTTTTTAAGTAGGTTTCTTAACAAGCTATTATGATGCCCTTTAGGTTGTTGTTTTAGAATTGGAAAGTTGGGTGAATAAAATATGTTTTATGGTCTATGGTCCTTTGGGTTGTCTTTGCTAGCATTGGTTTAGAATTTCTAATATGCTCTATGTGTTTCAAATTTCAATTGGTTATTACTCAAATACGGTGGTACTATAATAATAGAGAAAAAGAAAAAGAAAATGTTTCATAAATGATGGTTATATGAAAAGCACATTTATGTTTCACCCATAGACCAATATATATTTTAATTCATTATCTTTTTTGAATTTTTTCTTACATATGCATTTTCCATATCTTAAGTACCTCATTTTCAGTCATAATGCCATCTAACCATCAGTTGATATGACAGTAAAAAATGAGTAAATCTAAAGACTCTGGTTCATCGACTATATGGGATAAAGAGAGTACTAATATTTTTTGTGATCTATGCGTGAGGGAGGTCGAATTGGGGAATCGACCCACAACTTTTTTTAATAAAGAAGGTTGGCATAATATCACAACTAAATTCAAAGAAATAATTGGAAGGGATTACGATAGAATGAAACTAAATAACAAATGGGACCAATTAAAGAAGGATTGAAAACTTTGGAAAGAGCTTAAAAGGGGATCAACTAGGTTGGGATGGGATCCAGTAAAGCAGACAATTGATGCACCTGAGAAATGGTGGGCAGAAAAGTTAGCGGTAATAACATCACTATTTGAAGTATAATTCAGATACATATTTTTCGAACATTGATTAGATTTTTTTTTGTTACAGATAGTGCCAGCGACAAAAAAATTCAAATTTACTGGAATTGAACCAGCTTTGGAGGGGAAGTTGGATGGCATGTTCTCTGGTGTTGTAGCAACATGAACTCATTTTTTCACCCCTAATGAGCAGGGTGTTGCAAACCTAGCAGAGGATATGGAGACCGAGCATATAGGTGATTCAGGAGAAGGTCCCAGCCAAATCCACACATATATCCAATCCACTGGTGGAACAAAGCATCTCCGACCTGCAAAAAAAAAGGCTTTGCATTTGTAAGGGGTTCTATTGAGACATTGATTGAAATTTCCAAAAATAATTCCAAAACTGCGAAGGACAGCACAATCCATGAGTGTGTTAAGATCCTTAACACATATCCTGATATTAAGGAAGACCAGGATATGCATGTTAAGTATGTCAAGTTGCTTGGGAACTCAACCTGGAGGCAGTTCTTTGAGACTTTGGACACATAATTTTGTCTTCCCTACTTGCGCTCTTTTATGAAAGATTGAATGCTATTTATGTAACTTCATTTACTATTTGTTTGATGGACTCGTTATGTCTTATGTGTTATTTATGTGATAGATTCGTTATATGTATTGTATTTTTTTTTAAAGCTTGAATGTGTTAGCTACATATCGAACTTTGATATTTAGATATGCAAACATTCAATGAAATGTGCGGCATGTATGTAACTCTCTCTATATTTTTATTGCATGCAGTTAAATTTACATGCATGTACTCTTTTTATAGTTGTCATTTTATCTATGTTTGCTGATATTACATCATTATTTTTTATCTCGTTTAAAATTTTACCTTCCTTTCAGATTTTACACCATGGAGGAAGGACAAATTAATCAAATTTGCATTGTTGCTCTCACCCTTACGTTGTTATACCATTACTACAATGCATATGTTGATCGAAACCCATGCATGACGTCCTGGAATATTGGAGATAGATGGATCAGAGAGTTATTACGTGGTCACCCGACACGTTTTACAAATATATTTCGTATGACAAAAGTAATTTTCCTTGACCTCTTAAATGAATTTTGCACCCTCCACGGGCTGCAAGGATCATAAAAAACAACATGTAGAGAGGTGTTGGTTTGCTAATAACACTCTACATTTTGGCCTAGAATGAATCGATGAGAGGAGCTATGGAACAGTTTCAACATTCCTCAGAAACCATAAGTAGATATTTCTCAGTTGGGTTGAATTCACTAGTGAGACTGGCCCGTTAAATAGTCAAACCAGAGGACCCAACATTCCAGTCCATCCCCACACATATTGCGAATGACCCTCATTATATGTTATTTTTTAAGGTGTTTCCCATATTTAAATGTTAGTCAATAAAATTTCACACATATGATTTTATTATTGATTAATTCGTTTATCCCAGGATTGTATCGGAGCTATTGACAGAACACATGTCGACGCAAATCTTTCTAACACAGAGAAAGTTGCATACATTGGACGATGCAAATCACCAACACAAAATATAATTGTTGTTTGTGATT